GCTATTTGTAATGCTTATTTCCAATGAGCACAATACGATAAAAATACTCAAAGAAAATTTATCAAACATTTTGTATGCAATTGATCACATTTGGAAATTCGATTTATTTTTTTGATGTAAAAAGCCAATCACAATCAAAGTGATTATGATTATATCAAAAACAATAAATTAAAAGAAAATTATAAAACAATTTCCAATCGAAACAACAACGAAATCGATAATTTGCAAGAAAAACAATTAAAGAAAATTAAACCGATAACAAGGCACAAAGATTTGTTTAGGAAGTTCCCCAATTGGCCTCACTATGGATACGTCTGCCCTCAATACAAAATCGAATTGAGATACTTGTAACTAACCTTATCTTTGCAAAAATCTTTATACAAAAGGTGAAGAATTCTAACCCCAAAAACCCTATTGTTTGTTGTTGATTTAACCACCTCTAAACCCTTGATCAAAGCTTGATCAAGTCACCAAAAATGCAGCTACAATCCTCCGATTATCCCGAGCATGCACTTGTTGAACCCAAGATTCCTGAACACTATTCACCATCTCGTGCTACTCCCTTGCAAGGAAACCACCTTGTCCCAAGGCATTCACTTGGTCGAATCCGCCTTTACGTGATCTTGTCCAAAACCTTCAAATCACACTAATCTTGAAGGAAAACCCTACCTTAGATTTCTTATTTGAAACGCACAAAGATTCCAACCCAATATTCTTGGTTACACCAACCTAATTGGACATTATCAACCCTAATCTAGATTGTCACCCAATCGAAAAATAATTATGTGTAGTTCAATTGTGTGTATGCATAGAAGAGAGGTTAAAAATGATGGGAATGCTTTGTAATCTAATTTCGTATATGTAATTCATTAGTACCTTGCTAGATGAAGTTACATGTGTAAGTATATATATGTATGTGTTGAAAAATGAACATAAGGAATGCAATAAGTTGGAGTAAGAGAGAAAATTTTAAGTTGGGAAATCATAAAGGTCAGCTTGTCAAAGCAATAGGTTGGTCTATCAATGAAATAAGGTCGGCCTATAAAGGTCTTATATTGTGTACAAGTTAGCCTATGTGAGGCAACCTGTAGACAGAAGTTACATGCTTCAATATTGCTCTATGGGAGCTGACCTGAAATTGTTATAGGTCGGCCTATGTGAGGCGACATGTGGACAGAAGCTACAGGCTTCAATACTGCTTCATGGGAGCCGGCCTGAAATTGTTATAGGTCGGCCTGTAATGGTTTGACCACTCAAAAGTAAGTTTTTTAATGAAATTTTGATGCAAACTTATTTTCCAACTTACTTGAATGATTCATAATACTAATATGCATATCTAGAATGGGATGATACCGTTCAATATACATAACGCTACACTATCCTAGTTTTGACATCACTCAAAATCCAAAAGCACTCACAGGAATTTTTGGGCGTTCATTGGTGGTGGGGGGGCTATGGTGGGATGATGTGGAATCATATGAATTATCGGGGCTATAGAAAGATATGGTGACTACATATAGTTGTTGCTGGTATGGGTCATGCTCTTGGTTTTGTGTTTGAGTATGTGACATGTATTTGTTGCAGGGTTGGGTGTTTTGTAGTTGGGTGTATATGGTATGTTGATGTTGTGAGGTTGGTAGTTGGGTTTTGGTGGGTTGACATTGTTGTTGGGTTGGGTAATGGTGTGGGGTAGGTTGAAATTATTGTTGGGTTTGGTAATGGTGTGGGGTTGGTTGTTGGGCATATGATAACGAAGCTTATTAGCGTGGTTGATCAAATACCTCGACTCAGACATAAACTGTATCATTGTAACCGACCTAAACCAATTCATATAGTGTTGAGTTTGTCTAGCACCTTGTAAGATAGGTTCGTTTAAGATATGTTGATGTCTATCCCTCCATTGAAGACACATCTCCTTAGCGAAGTCTTTCTAATCAGAATAACCCCATTGGGCATCGACTCTCAATTGATGCCAGTCTCCTAAGCATGTCAGAGGGTCAGGAATTTATTGTTGTATGCTAAACTGCAATTTCACATGGCCACTCTAGTGCATCTCCGCAGTAGTGAACCTAATGATTGATGTTTTTACTGTCCAAACTGCAACATTATTGGAGTTAACCTCATGGTCGAAACCCAAATGCGACCTTCATATAAACTGTATAATAAAAATACATGATTAGAAGATTTGTAGTTTGGTAATATTAAAACAAAATTAAGAGGTGTTTAGTTGTAATACATTGTCTGGTCCAAGATGATCTATAAGATTGAGATACACTACTATAGCATATTTGAGACATCTGTTGTACCAAAGGAGGATTATCGGCATGCATATCAAGAGAAGATAATCTGACACAATGAAAACATGTGAAGAAATAAAAAGGATCGCCCAAACAGCATGCGTATTGATAACACGAAATCGTATATATATATATTGATGCATAATTCAACCGATGTTTAACTGTTTTCGATCCAATTTCGGGTTATTTCCGTGTTATTTGTCTGATATTTTGCAGGTATTTGATGATCATGTCTAAACAAGGCAATATGAAGAAAAGAAGCAATCACAGATGAAATATGGACAAAACCGGATGAAAACAACATGAAAAACGCAGAATGCATATTTTGCTGCTGTGACGACCGTCACAGCTCCATGACGACCGTCACACACCGTGACGACCGTCATGCAGGCAAAAACGCCCAACTTCAAATGCACGTGCAAGATGCAGTTCCAAGTCCCAAATAGTGGACCACTCCTCCCTGATATTTCTGCCTCTAAGTCCACCTTCTTCAAGTTATAACCGTTAGAATTCTATTTCTATAAAAGGGGAAGGAGGGGAGCTGAGAAAGGGAGCCGCATTCAGACAACAAAGTGCTGCCCAATTTCATTTCCAGAGCAAAAGTTCAGTTTTATTTCTTTTCTATTTTTTTGTTGCCTTTCATTTCTTCTGTAATTCCTATTTCCCTTGTACGATCGATTGGCATAAAGACCAGAATCCTGCCAACATTTGTGGAGGATCTGCCCAAAGGTCAATTGGAATATTTACAGGTTTTAAATTTTAATCGTAATTTTAGTTTTCATTATGATGCATATTATTATTCATTGCTTTCATTTATGTTTTACCTTTCCCAAATCCATGTCTAGCTAAATCAAAGTAATCGATATGTAATAATAATTCGGACGGGATTTGATAATAACCGGTTGAAAACTTCCTTTTCAAAAGTTGTTTATGGTCTGAGTGTTTAAATTTATTTACTGAATAAACTTCGTCGCGAAAGCGAGAACTTATTTAAAAGTAGTTTTGCCACGAAAGTGGGAAATTAATTAAGGTACGAACCAACAAGCGAAAGCTGCGGCAAGACCAGATAGTAAACACTAGTCATTTGTTTTAATAACAGCGAAAGCACTTTAAAATGAATTAGAACTTAGAGATTTCCAAAAAATAGTTTTAACCCCGAATGGGACACGAAAGCGTACATTTGGCCCTTAGAATTATGATTAGCGTCAATAACCATTGTGAGACGAGAGTCTTCAGATCACTATTTTCTGCTTAAATAAACTCTGAAAAATATTTCATATACCGGTAACTTGTCAAATCCCCGAAGAACATAATTACTGCATATCGATTCACGTAATTATAATTTAAGTAACATTTTTAGTTCCCTTTAGTGACAATCTTATTCCCTTAAACATTATCTACCTAGCTAAACATAGTAACTCCCGAGAACACTAGTTTGATTACGAGTCCCTGTGGGATCGATATCTTTTATTACTACGCGATAGACTGTGCACTTGCAGTTAGGTTGTATTAGACATAGAAAGTCGCGATCACGTATTCGAACCGAAATGGATACAGCGAATAAATTAGTAAGACTATGTAGTTCATGTCATCAGCTCGGACACAATCGTACAAACTATCCCAATGTTGGACCAAACACAACAACATAATTTTATATGTAAGCATTTTATTTGATTTTAAAAATAATGTTCATTTCATTAATATCAGTACATTCAGTTACAACAATTTAAAAAACAACTAAACAAAAATTCAAACCACAAGTAAACAACAAGACAAACAAATATAAGGATTAAACAACATAACTATGTGATTACAACCATCAAGACAATTTCCTCAGAACTGTGCATCATAATGCGGACTTCCCTGTTAGTTTTAACATTATCCCAAAAACGACTTTCTACATTGTCGTTATACATGATAACGAGCCTTTGAATTCTTCTAATCTTTTCACCTTCTACAATGTCTCAATTTAACCAACAAATCAAGATTCTATTAAGATGCTCGAACATCTCTGTGTTCTATAGTTAGATTTTCATCGGAGGCTTTACTGTCGAATAAATTAAATCGATATTTCTCTTGTGGATATAAGAACACATATATGAAGACATTTTGAAGAAAAAATAAAAGAGAGATTTATTAGATGTGTGAAAAACGATGGGAGGAGATCCATTATTTATAAAAATTGCTAAATAAAATAGTAGTCAGTGCATGCAACACATGCTCATAATGGATGCATACATGCGTCACTTGCAATGACATCAAATACATGCATGCGTCATCCCAAATGACGTCCATGTAAAACTTTATAATGCATGCGCCACTTTAAATGACTACTCCTTTTACGTTTAAAATTATTTTGTTTGAAAATTGATTACTTTAATAATTTATTTAAAATAGTGGTTATTTTAGCATATAAATTAAAAAAAAGGTGGTTATTTGATTTAATATAACTTATTTTTAAAATAAAATTGATTAACCATTTTATAAAAAAAAATCATTTCAGTTTTTTATTATGCAAAACAATATCCAACCAATTGCTTTGTTCTTATTGCTTTTCTTTCACTTTTCTTTTCATTTCCTTTCCGCTCTTATTGCTTTTCTTTCACTTTTCTTTTTACTTGAACAAGTTGATCACCTCTCTCTCTCTCTCTCTCTCTCTCTCTCTCTCTCTCTCTCTCTCATCTCATCTTGTTCTGTATTTCCATGGCCTCCAAGCGGATCCTGAAGGAACTCAAGGACCTTCAGAAAGATCCTCCAACTTCATGCAGTGCCGGTAAACTTTCCTACCTTCAATCACTACTCTACCTTCCCGTTTTCTTCGATCTACCACTTTCATCTTTTATCTATCGTTTGAATTATCTATAATGAACAACGATTTGTAACTTTGCTCTTGTTTACTAGTTTTGTTAAATAAGTGCTTTTTTTAAAAATCTTTTATTTCAGTTTTGGAGTAATCCAAATTGATTCTAGGATTATAGAAGCTAATTCAATGTGATGCATGGCTTGTAAGATAACTGTTGCTTTAAGATCAAGCTAATTTTATCTCTATGATATTTGTAATTATTATTTTGTTTTGGTTTGTGAAAAATCTGTTTATGAAACTGTTTAATGAGTTCATGTTATTTGAAGTTTATGAAACAATTTTACAATATTTTCTCATGTAAAGTTTGTTATTTTCTTGTGTTTATCTATATCACTTTCACAGGTCCTGTAGCAGAAGATATGTTTCATTGGCAAGCAACTATAATGGGTCCCCCTGATAGCCCTTATGCTGGAGGTGTTTTTCTAGTTACCATTCATTTTCCTCCTGATTATCCATTCAAGCCACCAAAGGTATTGTGTTGGTCAACGCAATTTTAACAATTTGGACTTTTGTTGTACTTAACATTTCAAGATTCATATCAGATTTGTGTGCTCATATCTTAGAGAGCTTTTCCAAATTCTTGCCTTGGTATAGCTAGTTATAGCTTCTAAGTTATAGAGTCGTCTCAAGTTTTTAAAGGCTCTGTTTAAGTTAGTCACAGTTTAACTATAGCACAACAAATAGAGGTTCTATTTAGTCACGATTTCACCTGACAAATATTTTATGGGACACTGTTTAGTTATAGGCTAATCTCGAAATTTGAAGCCATGTGTGGTAGTCCACCTTGCACGCCCTCAAAGACGGCTCTGCTAAGTTTGCTAAGTTATAAAAAGCACAATTTGTTCTACTTTTAACCTTTAGTTTACTTGCAGGTTGCATTTAGGACTAAAGTTTTCCACCCAAATATCAACAGCAACGGTAGTATTTGTCTTGATATCTTAAAGGAGCAGTGGAGTCCTGCTTTGACAATATCTAAGGTTCTGCCACTGCTTAACTCTTTAACTCAAATCTCTCATCAACATCACTAATCACTTATGTTAGAAGGAAAATGTTTCTGTACAGCAAAAATGCTTATAAGCAAGTGAGATGCTTTTGTAGTGAGTCTAGTTGCAAATGCTAAACATTTTTCTGAGTATCATGTAATACAAGGTTTTGCATAACTATAATCTTTATGATGATGATGTTTATCCGGCATTGTCAATGCTATGCATGGTTACTTTTCCTTTCTGTTGATTTATTATTACTACTGTTTCTTAAGTTGGTGGGAAGGACTTGTGTTTGGTTTTTCCAGGTGTTGCTATCCATTTGTTCGCTATTGACGGATCCAAACCCAGACGATCCCTTGGTGCCTGAAATAGCTCACATGTACAAGACAGACAGGTCCAAGTACGAGACGACTGCTCGGAGCTGGACTCAGAAGTATGCAATGGGCTAGCAAGCATGTTGGAAGTACATGTTACTTCCATTCCATTTGTTAAGTGTCATGATGTATAATATCATATAACATATCTTTTCATTCCTGCCTTTAGCACATTGAAGAGTAGATCTCTATCTATGTTGCTGGTAAGAGTCAAAACATGAGGATTTTATTTTGTTTGTATGAAGATTCTGCTTCTAATGTGAAATATCTGTAGTCAATAATATCATATTCTTTTTTATTTTTTGGTAAATAATTGTATTTCCATATGCACTAATGAAGACAAATCCCTTATGATAAGATGTTAACATCAACTTAAGAGATTGTGTTAAATATGAGTTTGCATTAATCTATCTAGTATTTATAGTTTGTCTTCTGCTTAGTTTCACTAAGCTAAACAGCACCTACTGGACCATTTCTTTCTTACCATGTCTTTTCTGAATTAGGGTTATTTTCATTTAATAGCTCTTAATATTGAAAATATATGATATTCTAAAATATTTGTCGGATCCGATACATCGCTGATACTCAGGGTTGACAATGAATTGAACCAATTCGAACAGAGTTCGAAATTCGATTCAATATCTAAATCGTTGAACTTGGTTCATGAATCAAATGAGTTGAATATGAACAAACAATTATGCTTTTAACTAAATGAGTTGAACTTGAATTATAAACATTTTGACTCGTTAGATTTACGAGTCAACTTGATTATATGTATGAGTTAACTAAAAGTACTTATATTTATCGGATTTTTTTATTAAAGATGGAAAATCTGGTAGTTTAACAAGTATCGGTTTTTCCAAAACAGCCTTAAGTTAGCATATTTTTTGTGGATTAGTCAAAATTTTGGTAGTGTTAATTGAAGGATTGACATTTTGTCAATATTTTTGTACGACTATGATTGCACCCACCGTTTAGTGTGGTCCAGAATGAATCTTAAGTTGTATAAACAGGTGTCATGTGTTGTTAAGAAAAACCATCTTACAATGTTTCAATTTTTGTTTAAGGCAAAAATGTACTTTAACGGGGTGAAACCTCCTAGAGAGTTTTGGCTCCCGGAAGGCACCACATGTCTCGCCCTTTTGAAATCCAAGTTGAATAATATGTTGCCCTACATCGAGAACAAAAAGGTGAGTAAGATCAAGTTTTGTGCAGATTGGATTGATACTTATGGAAGATGAAATATAATCTTATAAAGTTGAAGACCAATGAAGATTTGAAAGTTATGTGGAGAACATATCATCGTAGGCTAATTAAGGGACCGATCGAGTTTGAAGCGAAAATTTCTATATCTGATCAATGACATATCAAGATGTTGAAACGTCCAGAATCACGTGGTAGTGTTTAGCCTTTCTTATTTACAGTTATTTTGTTAAGTTGTGTAATTGTCTGTCTAAGTTATGTAACCGTTTGTCAAATGTTAAGTTATATTTATCATAGATCAGTGGTAGTGCCAAAATGTTATCTAATAAACAGTGTTGGGTAAATGTCTGAGTATTACTACACTTAATATACAAATAATACAAAAACGATAGAAGGTCTAAATAGGTCCCCCACGGGCTATGTGTGCTACCTGCGATGACAAAGTCTAAACCTCACCATCTGGGTTCATCAAACTCATGAGGTTATTTATAATGATTGTTATCATCGGTAGACTTTAAACGTCGTCTGCAGCATGTGGAGGTGCTAGAGGCAGAGACATGTCATCAGAAGGTCCTCCATCATGAGAAGATACAACATAAGAAGGTCCAGCATACTCTTCATGTTGCCTAAGTAGAATGATGTTGGGGTGATACAATATGGTACAACTCCAAATACCAATCCACACACTCCGCATAGAACTAAACATCCACTGCACGATCTCTAATGGAATGGGCAGAACCCAAAACGTGACCAACAAACAAGCTATCAATGCCCTCAGATGGAATAGCATGGACCAGTTGTGTGATGTCTTGAAAATATTCAAACTGGCGCATACACTTCTCAGGTAAGTGTCTAGCCACCAAGGTCTCCCATTGCAAATAACTAGAGAAAAGTGATGTTTCATCGAACTCATGATGCACATTATGGTCTACGTAGGGTGTCCAGATGACATCGTCTACTATTAGTGCATCAATCATCTTCCTATACTCTGCCACACCTCCCGAATGTGCCCAGGGCGGCCTCCGTCTTCGGATGTCGTCTCGAGGCCGTGAAATGTCACGAAAATAGGTCTTTCAAGACCCTCCACGACGTGATCAACTCGGCTCCCTGGCTTTTGTACCATGCCATGGCGCCTTTTTTCAGTGTTGTCGGGAAGAGTCTCCACTTGATGGCTCCCCGGACGTTCCTGTAGTCGAGCATAACATCGATGTCTTCCAGGTGATCGTCTCGGTCCGAGGTGCCGTCATACGTCGAGAGGACCGGTGGCTTCTCCATCCCGTGGGGAATGGGGGTCGCCATGATTTCCCGCGATAGGGGGATTCTATAGTCGTCCTCGGCCTCCTGGCCGGGGCCTCGAGCCTGTTCGCCCTCGGATCTGGGGAGCGCCTCTCCTTCCGGGGCGGTGACCTTGCTCGCTTCTTAGAGACCACTGGTTAGGGCCTCTCCAGCTGTGGTCGGCGCCCCCGTGGTTGGGGAGAGGGGCTCCGAGAGTTCCCACGCTGATCTCCCCGCGGAGGGGAGCGGGATGAGGTGTCGTGTTCTAGTGCGTCGATGCGCTCATTTTGCTGGAACAACATCTGGTTCGTCTGATTGATGGCTGCGAAGAGGGCCACCATCGTCGGGTAAGCTCCGGCCGGAGTGGGGATGGGTTGGAAGACTGTCGGGCTCCTCGCCCGAGGAACGACGTGATGTGATGCATCCTCGGATGAGGGGGAAGCAGTCTGGTCGTCCCTGTGGTCGGTCTCATGGGGTTGAGATGTCCCCGACGGGTTGTCGCCGTTGGTGACCGGGGTGAAGAAGGAGCCGAAAACAGCGTCGTTGTGGCGTGGGCTAGTCATGCTCTCGAAATTGGAAAGGAGGAAACTTTGGTTCTCTGCTTGGAGGAACGGGGAAGTTTATTTCCCACAGGCGACACCATTGATCTGACCTGATCAAAAGGGAGTCAATGACCGGCTACGCGTCGTTGATCTGCTAGCTGTTCACCGGAAGTATGGAAGAGGAGGGGGTGTACTTGAAAGACACTCTGATGCCAAAGTAAGTAACGGACCAGAGTGGGAGCAAATACAGAAGAGAGGTTAAGAAGTGAATACCTGACCCTCTAGTGAAGTAGGGTATTTATAGAGAGACCCCAGCGCAGGGCCAACGATCACTTGTGTTGGGCTGGATTGTCAGGCCCAACCCAAGTGACTGCCAGGGTTTACGTGGTGTAGTGAAGATCAGCACATGGTCTTCGCCCTAGTTCAACCGTCCCATGATTTCTGGAAGGTAGGCTAACTATTTCATCCGGAGGTGGGTAGTTGTCTAATGACGTGTTCCCACAGGGGGAGCACGTTGAAAACGTGTGGAGGACGTGTTATTCTGCCCGACGGAAGGAGTATCCTGCTCAACGAGGGAGCTGTCTGGTCGACGGGGGAGCCTATGTCCAACACTGGACAATTTAAGCCTATTTGGGTCTTCCCCAAATAGTGTTGGGCTGGACCTACCCGGCGGATGGGCAAGCCTAGACTCAGTACAGAACAGTTAATATACACTAACTATATATATATATATATATATATATATATATATATATATATATATATATATATATATATATATATATATATATATATATATATATATATATATATATATATATATATATATATATATATATATATATATATATATATATATATATATATATATATATATATATATATATATATATATATATATATATATATATATATTATGGTGTAGAAACTGGTAACTCTATCTCCTTAATAAATATACAACATCATTTTATCTAAAATCAACTTATTTTCTTTTCTTTCTTCATTCTAAATAAGCTTTAGATTGTTCTAACAGTAAGTACTCACTTCCAATAAAAATCACAATTTTTAGTGGGTTTATTTCATTATTAGTAGTTAATACAATTGTTTTATTTCTATTTATGTATAATGATCTTGAGTGGAGTTATGAAGAGGAGTATTAGGAATGATGATGATGTTAGAAAGAGAGAGTAAGAACCGCGGAGATACGACAACGGTTGTTGTTTTTTGAAAGCCAGAAAGACATTTATGTTTTATGATTTTGTTTGTGATCTGGTAGGGAGAAAGTGAATAATGCACTTTTTTTGGTTTGCTTTGTTATTGTCGGTAATGCTTTGTTATATTATCAATATATGATGATGTATGATGACGAATATAATTCAGGAATTCCTAACCATTTTTTTAAAAATTGTTCTTTGCTTTTCCTTGGTCGAGGAGAAACTAACTTAAGTTTGTTAAAGGTGGTTCATTCTTGCATTGAAAAGGAGTTTAATTGTGCTTTTTATTGTGACCACCAAAAGTTATGTTAGGCGGGAAAAAAAAAATACTTTCACCTAGACAAAATCACAATTTTACTAAGCAAGCTAAAATGATAATTGTGCATCAAAAGGAAAAACACGTTTTTGGGTAGATTATTATTATTTTTGGTGAATAAAACTCGATTCTATTAATTCCTAAATAACTTTATATTAGGCCTTGTTCCAGTATCAAAATATATCAAATTTTTGTCATTTATAACTTTTTTATAACTTTTTTTAGCAGATAATGGAGATTTTGGCATGCCCCATCTAACTTAAATCAGACCGTCTTCATTATTGTGTTTTTTCTATAATACCCTTGCATATTAAAAAATCTTTTCACATTTTATTGTAACATTTAAAATTTTTCTAAATGTTACGCGACTTACTGGAGTTTTGGAACTAACTACTGCATTTTTATAAGTAATTTAAATTTTTATCGACAATTTACGTTTTTTACTAGACATTTTTATAAAAGAATGCATTTTTAACGATATTTTTGAAATATTAAATAAAAGTTTATATTCTTAATGCATTTTTA